TCACAGCGGCTCTTGGCAGCTCACACCGGCTGCCAGCTGCTCACGCTGGCTGCCAGCCACATACGGTAGCTCACGGCAGCGCACTGCAGCAGGGCTGCAGCCTACGCCGTCGCCGGAGACTCACCGCAGCCCAGCTCCAGGTTGAGCTGTTGTTCATCATCTTAGCTGTAGAGGGCAGTGTCACTGACCCCCATGTGGGATCCAAACCGGGGCCCTGCTGCTCAGAGCTGGCGTCCCAAGCCACCTCTTAACCAATGCACCACTTGGCTGACCCGGGTTTATCCCTTTTGATAGCTGAGAAAACTGAGGTGCAAAATCATTTCACAAATGGATAAGAAAAACCAGCACTAGACTCTGGTTTCCTTGATGTCTCTCCCTGTCCTAGAAACTAGCAGTCTTGTCAGATTTCCTAGCTGTGAGAAGTTGTCCTCACAGTCCTGTTTTCAGGAAGGATGAGAATGAATCATTCATTCCTGACATAGTCAGAATAACTAAATGGTTAGGAACACGAGGTGACAGGGTTCGAATCCCAACTCAGCCACTTACTAATTATAAAACCTTCGTGAAGTTACTTCTCCCTCTTTGGTGAAGAGAGGGAAATAATACTACCTTTGCTTTAGGATTATTTTGAGGAAACTGAGAAGAGACATGTAAAGTGCCTAGCATATAAGAAGAGCTCAATAAGTGTTAGCTCTTTTTATTGTCATGCCACATTTCGGCAGCTTTGATTGACCTGGCGTTGGGGAATAGCAATGAGTTTAAGTAGGACTATCACTCTCCTCACTCTGATTTTCAAATCCTACCCTCCCTAGGCCCTGATCTCCCACAGCTACTTATTTTATCCTTTTGTGCCACAAGTACTTTTGCCAGCTGCTTCAAATCCTTTGACAATCTAAAAGGGAGCATGAATTAGAAAGTGAGATTATTTCTGTTGATGGACAATGCTCTCTCTCATATCAATCCCATCAGCAGCTACTACATGAGTGTTGAGTGAGAAATGGTGCAGTCAGAGCCATGCAGCTTGGTCAGGAGAAGCCACAGTAAGTGCGCATAGCCCCTACCTGAATGCACATGACCTCTGGGCCCGCTGACAGCGTCTTCACTACATTCATTCCTATGATTTTGGCTCAAGCCTAATTTTTATCTTCCTCCTTCGTTGGCCTTTCCCCCTTTCCCCAGGCCTCTTATTTGGGCCTCTATCCTAACTTTTTATAGTCAAGCCTTATTTTCAGGAGCAGAGAGAATGGACTCAGCCCTGTGGACAAAGGGGAAACAGTGAGCTTACTCTGGCATTCTTTTATAGGTAACCCCCACAGTGAGCAAGCTCCCAGTTGTGATCCTCCACTTGTTAGGGTTGTTTGTTTTGTTGTTTGGTTGGTTTTTGGAAATTAAGGAAGAGTTTGTAAACCGATTCCTGATTCAATTTCACAAGTCAGGAATGGGGTCCAAACTCAGGATGGGTATTTAATAAAACTCATCAATTCAAGTTTACATCCAGGCCAATATAGTAATTCACTGCAATGTCCTACGTCACAGATCACAAGCAGCCGAGGCTCCATCCTCAAAGGCTTCTCTTCGCATCTGCTCTTCCCAAAAGACTGGACTTCTCCCATTTCTTTTTTAGCCCCCTATTTGCCCGCCCCTAGAAACAGACACACCCATCCTGACTATGTTTGATATATTTACTTCTTTAAAGTCCTAGAAACAGTGAGCGTCCGTGTTTCTCTAGTTTATTTTTATATCATGCCAACAGGCTTCCCTGCCTTTCCCCATTAGAAGGCTGTCCCTGGGAGGGAAGCTTAGGGCCAGCAGAGCAGAACATCAGGGAGCTCCATGGACAAGTGGGAGCTCCTGCCACTGTGCGTAGACTGAATCTGGTCATCTTCTGTTTTGACTTTCCATGTCTAGATTCCCTAGAAACTATTCCTTGAGCAGTTCCTAATTGCAGCAGTGAGCCACAGATGGGAATAGGAGGAGTCTCAGTAACACTTCAGTTTGACACGTCTGTCACAGAACAACGGCCTGGCATGATAAAGGCTGGTATTTCAGATGGATATACTTGGATGGTTATTCATTTTGGTTTGCTGCTTATTCATTTTGTTTGTATTTTGTAGGGTAAGGGTGATAGATTGGCAGGGACAGGTTTCAGGAAAGGAGGATAGCAATGCTCGCATTTCTCGGGTGTTTGGTACAATTCTACTCAACACTCTAGACCAAAATTTGAGAAATGATTCAAAATTTGAGCAAGATGAAAATTTAGAAAAAAGAATAATAATAAATTCATTTTTCATCTCAAACAACAGAAAGAAAGACTGCGTCAGAAGGAAGCCAGTGTGACCACCAACTGAAGCAGACACCTGAAAATGATGAGTGAGACGCTTAGTACCTTGCATGATCCAACACCAGTGCTGCTGGAAGTTCTTGAAAGACACGTTACTAAATGTTTGTTTTGCTCATCGCTTCCTGAGGTCATCTGCAGTGAGCACCCCGTGCCTTCTTAAAGAAGCTCCTTGTTAAGCTGCAGAAACAATGAAAAGCTGCTTAAGAGAACATTGCAGGAGTATTTGATAATTGTTTCTTGTAGAGGTCGTTAGTCTGCTTTGTTATACGACCAGAAGAAATACCAAGATTTTCCAAATTGTTTTAAAAGCGGAGAATTTCAAGCTTTCTAGTCCAAGCTTGATACATGTAAATTTGTGACAGAAGAAAAAGATCTTTTATGACAGTTGCCTTGAAAGAGTTCAAGCCTTTACACACTGCTGGTTTGATTATTGATCCTGATTTTGATCCTATTGCAGCAAGATCCTAAAGCATCGTTCTCAACAAAAAATGTTGAAACTTACCAAAACTATTTTTTAAGACATCTAAGACTATGTATTTCCCAGATGAGAGAAATGGTTATTTCCTTGTTGTTGTTCATGTAATGGAAAGGAGAGAAAATGGAATTATACATGGGTGGAGAAGGGGTTAAATGGCCATAAACTTCATCCTGGAGAACAAATTATGATAAGGGAGTTGACGTCAGTCATTAAGTGAGACCCAGTCTTTTTGTTTTTATGTCAGTTCATTATGGTTTCCTGAACCAGCAGGGATCCCAAACCCCTTCTCCCAGAAGAAACAGTGATACATGAGCAGGGACAGACTTGGGGTCAAAGCAGCTGCTTGGACAAGTGACCCAGTAACAGAGCACATTTCACATTTCGGAATGTTCGTGAAAGCCATGTTGACATGCAGCTGAGCCCTATGTCATGTTCTGGGACTGTGTGTGGCTGGACCTCTCCCTCTAACCCCAGGAGGCAGTTTCCAGACAGGAGAGCAAATGCTACTCACAGTCTTTTACCAGCATGTGACAAAGGGTGAAGCAGGGGTCTTTGATGTCTGAAAAATTAAGGGCAGAAAAAAGTTCTCTGCATCCAAATACAAAGAAGGCGACTACGTTAAATTAAACTTTGAGTGGAATATCATGCATAGGCAGCTTTCTCATACCCCGGGAGCTGATATGGCCATTGTCCCTTGAGTCACAAGGAAAATGAATCTATCTTGTGAGGGCAGAAGAGGGGCTAGGGATGAATTGAGAATGAGATCAAAGACTATCATTGAGCATTGAAGGGAGAAAGACCGAGCTTTCACCTGCAGTTGGTGGAGGACAGTCTAGAGATGGGCAACAACCTACTAACCCTTCCCAATCTAGCTGCGGTGTGTGGCCTGCCCCTTCCCCCCAAGACCTTCCCAGAACCTCTCAACTTGCCAGGTGCCTGAGTGTCTACGCAGGAAATGCCTGCCAGTTATCAGTCCTCTCAGGGACCTTGTAATAGATTCAGCCAATTAAAGCAGCACCATATCCTAATATCGCATCTATCCCTGGAATCTAGAATGTATAGTCAGGATCAAATCAAGTCTCCGAAGCCATATTCATGCAGGTGCTAACCACCTTTTCTAACAATTCAAAAGAAAGGGAATATAGTAACATAGTTGGGTTTTGTTTGTTTGTTTGTTTTTCCAATTCAAAATAGAAGGATGAGACAAGTAAAATAGAAAAGCTGGTAAGGAACTTACATGACTAAAAGACGTTGCTTGTGAGCAAGAAGCTTTTCATACTGCTTTCTTATAGGGTTTCTTCATTTTCACTTAACTGTGAAGAAAACCTAAGGAATTCATCGATTTAAAACAAATTCCACTTGCAGCCACCCTGGGCTCTGTGACATTCCTTCTAGTCCTATTGTGCAAAAGAAAAGAGCCTGTTTTGCCCATGCCTGGGGAATCAACTTTGAATTCAGTGAGACCAACATAAGTGGAGATCCTTATGGTCCTTATAGACGCAATGGGAGACAGCAGCAGGTGGCTTTCTGTGGAGTCACTGTTGTACAGTTCAGGTCCTGGAGTAAGATGCTCACAAATAAAATCACTGACGATAAGCAAGACTGTCACTTTGGCCACATAATCCTGCAAGGAGAAGCCCTCAGGGTACCAATGCTGAAGAATAATGAGTGGATACATTTAATTTGAGAGCTAGACAAAAGCAGCCCAAGTTGGATTTCATCCTCGTGGACTGACTAAAAATTGGCAGTTAAGTAACTATTTCTAAAGAGTGAAATTTGCCTGCCTCTGTTAGGGAAACCTTGTGATTTTGTAAGATGGTAAAATAGTCTGTTAGCATATTAGACACCAGGGCAGGGTTTCCATTATTTTCACCCAGTTTGAATCCTGTATTCTGTATTTGGATGCCCCCTCCCAGTTCCACACAAGTACTGGATTGTTGACACATTCTTCGTTTCCAGTTTAGGTTGATACTCAGTAAAGGTTCACAAGAGTTTCGAGGTGTCTAAGATAACCTGGGGACCCTCCATGATTCCTCTAAAATGCATGTTGAGATTGTGTTAAATGCAACAGTCATCTCTACATTTTTCATGAAAAGGAAGTAGTTAGAGTACCACTCAGCAGCTTAGGCATATGAGGTAAGCATGGTTTAAGTGGGTGTTCTAAGCGCCCCCTGAATGAGAGGGAGAGTATTGCTACTCTGTGTTTAACCAGACATGCACATCTGACTTACTAGTCAGACTCTGAGAAACCTTAACTTAGAAACAGCATCTTCTCTTCCTAACTAAGATTCATTCAACCTGAGGGCACAATTGGATAGCAGTTCAGATTCTTGCATGAGTAATTGGCATCATCCTAGAGCACACAAGTATGTCATATATTACACCAGAGCATGATATAAACATGTTAGGTAAAAAAACAGCAGGCCTGTGAGGTATTAAAAATCAGGTTAGAAGATGGTGTGCTGTATGGCTTTTAACCCAAGAAGAGGCAACTTTTGGGGTGGAAGGGGGGTGGGAAAGTGTGGCCAAGCAGAAATGGATGAATATGCTGGTGGAGCCCCAGCAGTCATGGGTGATGGACCTGCTTTGCAGCAGTTGCCTTTTGAATACTTGAGTTGACGTCTATGATGTCTCTTGAAATGCTTGCTGCAACTATCTAGGAATTTTGGAGGAGGAATTTCTGAAATCTGAAGCGTAGGATAAGGAAACCCAGTGTTGCTATTACATCTTAAAATGTTGTAGCCAAAACAGGCCCCATGGTTGAGGAATTCAATGTCAGATTGGGTGCCATGCCCCCGGTGTGGACAATAGAAGCTGCACCTCTGCTGAGCCTCCTTAGGCACCCTCTTTGTCCATAAGCACCATAAGGAAAGGTGTTTCCTAAATCAAAAGCTCATACACTGGCTGGAGCAACTGGAGCAACTGAAGGAAGGAATAAAACTCTTTGGTGATATTGGGAACCTCCACAAAGATAGTCATCAGTCTGGCTCTTCCAAGGACCAGGATCGGATGTGGCAGAAGAGGTGTAAGCGTATTTTTGCACATCTCCCCATAGATTAAACTGCCTGCAATGGGGGAGTTTTTGCTCTAACTATATTCTGGCTTTCTTGACTGTTATGTTTTCTTGTTTCTATTTCTCCTTCTCCCTTGCCTGGTGTCATTCATGTGGATCATGGCCTGCTGCAGCTCAGCAGACAACACCTAGTCAGTGTGTGACGGGGAATCAGCAACGCAGACCTGCAGCCTCTTACCCAGCAACCAAACTGTAACCTTGGCAGGGGAGCACCTTTATTCCCTGACATCCTAAACTGGTCTATTTTGTCATACCCTGTCCTCCCCTAAACAAACCAGTTTAGGTCTTTCTGAGTTAAAGAGAGGGAAGAAGTCCAAAAAATAACTTTTTTTCCCCCCTAGATATCTGATCCAAATGTACGATTTTATGAAGTAGTTTAAGTTGTCTTTAAGAATTGCCAGGAAGAACTCTGTTAGATTTGAGCTTCATTTTTCTTTGATCCCGCCTGTTCTAATAAGAAAAAAAGAAAGAAAAAAAACCAAGAGCTAGAAGGGAAAATGAAAACATCAGCCGATTTGGTAAACCACAAATTAGTTGATTAGTTTCTGGATCACAAAAATGGACATGTAGTGAAATCCAGTGAGTTTATTTTTGAAAAAGTCACATACAAGGAGAAGTGGTATGATGTAGTGAAAGAAGTGCTAGACCATTAAAATTTCCTTATTCTGGGCTCTCTTAAGAGCAGTTTATAAATGTGTGGAACACCCAGCATACTGTACTACATTTCATATATTAGATAGGGTACTTTTAAGAACAATACCACTGAAGAGAGTGGATTGAATAAAGACACAAACTTTCATTCATGTCAGCTACTTTCTCATCATGAAGAAATCTGCAACACGAGAAATAGGCCAGTGTGGCCAAACTAAATAGTAGTTGAAAAATATGAATAGTTTTTAGCCTTTCCAAAATGCAAATAACTTGTTGGATATATTTTTATTTTCTAGCTGTAGAGAAAAATAATCCAACTGCTTGCAATCTTCTCTATTATTAGTGCAGAAGTCACTTGAAGAAAAGCACCTTAAGAAACAGGCCTCGGCATATCTGGCTCCTTTAGACTCACATACTCACATACTAGTATTTATAACTCCATTAGCAATTGAATCCAGGTGTAACTAGTCTCCGTTACATAGCAATATGTGACTGAGAGGCCCATTTTGTGTCATTTCGGCACACCCATCAATTGTTGACACCTTGTTAAAAGCACTGAGTGTTAATTTCACAATTCTTCATTTCCCCTCCCAAGTAATGGGCAATCTACCAAACCCTCCAGAGCAACGCATTGCTGGGACTAGTTAATTCAAGAAAGCTTTAACATGTAAAACTTGAAGCCAATTCAGTAGTCTTATTTGTTCCCAGACTCTTAACCAATACCGTGATATAAACTTAGCATGTGGGAAATTTGTGTAGTTGACAACTTACTTGGAAATGTGAAGATGTTAATATCGCAGCTAGTTCACTCTGTCTCTTAAGTCCCCATGCTGTTTCTACCAACAAAGAGATTAGGGAAGTAAACCAGACCTCATTCAGTAGGTTGGCTGCCCCCAAATAGACCTTACTGGATTCACTCCCCGTCTAACCCCAGCCCCTCTCCCAACCCCACTGGTGATAGAAAGTAACTTAGAGGACCTTTTCCTTCTCCTCCTTCCCTTCTCTGGTATGATGGTTCACTTCAGACAACAACTTAAATGCACTCCAGACTTTATTGCATATCACATCTATGAAGTACCTGTTCATGAATTTCTTCTCCATTCTATGATCTGGAGAAGACTGACTTAATCTCAGATTTTTATATGAAAGTGGTCACGAAAGCCATTAGTTTATTCTTCTACATTCCACCTACATTCATATAATTTTCTATTTTAAAACAAATCTCTTAATACTAAGAATCTCTAAACTCTTCTTTTCTAAAATCTTATCCGGATACTTCTGTGGGCTATTTTTTTTTAATGTTTTACATGAAATTTAATAGCATTGGACTAGCAAAATGCAAATGACCCCATAGTTTCCAGCAGAAATTCAACTCCAAAGAACTTGGAATTCTTCTCCATAGAGTCAACAACCTTCTACCAACCTAGGCTGTTTCGTAGGATGAGCATTTTCCTAAATTCTACCTGTACAGACACCAAGGGGCTCTTTGTCTTTGAAACTGAAAATACCTTTAAAGAGAATGAATATTTCTCCCCATATATAATGTGAGCTGCCAGTGTGTTATACTTAGGACATTAACTAAGAAATCAAGTGTTTCAGCATGTACTCTCAGTAGCTCATCAGCATCTTGGGCAAAGCTGTACCTACTTTCCTTCCTTGTTCTCTTCCAGGGCTTGCTCCCATTCTTGTCTCATGAAACAACTATATTTTTGTTTGTTCATCTGGGTCAGCTTTCCAAAATGAAAGTCTAGTCCTGTAGACTACTGAGCTTACAGGGGAATTACTCTCTACCTCCCCATACATGGACCATAGATATATATGTTCAGGAAGGAACAACTCTCTGGGAACTTTTGGGATGAATTTTGAATTCCAGGTTTTTTCTATGAGATATTTAAAAATGAGTATATAGCATACAAAAAAAAACCTATATTCTCAATAAGAGACTAGAAGGTGATTCAAATTCTTTACATTTTAGATAGGTTTGAGCTAATATTTTCCCTTTCTTCTTGGCAGTGTGTTCCTAGCTATAATTTTATTTCTTCACATCTGACCACCAAGACATAACATAGATGGTCTCAGCCCCAGAGACTGCAATCTGCATAGTCCTCCAAAGACATCCATTGTCGTTGGAAACAAATCCATGAATGATGAGGAAAGTCTAGTGACAATTCTTCTGTGTGCCCAGGGTGACACACATAGGATTTTTAGGTCTACTAGAGAAATAGGCCTATTCCAAGTTATTAATTTTATAATTCTGTAATTCTTCAATTTCTCAAGACACAAATAATATGACCCTAAGAGGATATGTAATCTTCAAAGAATATAAGCATTAAAAAGGACTTCTCTTTAAAGAAATAATCTAAGATACTCCTAAAAAATGCAGAAACTTTTAAAATTAAAATTCAAATAATTTTTAAGACTCTTTAAAGAAAACATCATTGTTTCATTATAGTCTTCCTTTCATTGAGTTTTAATTTAGACGAGTGCAGAAAGCAGCGTGCCCCTGGACTTGGATTTAGGGAATCATGCTTTGGCCTGGAAAATGAGGGCTGGACTACGTGCTCAGAACCTAAGTGAAATCAGTCAACACCCTAATAGGAATCAGGCCTAACAAATGTAAATGATCTCAAGTCCTTTAAGGTTTAATATTCTTAGCGACACCCTGGACACTGCTTCCTAAAATGCGTTTGCTCCATGCAGCTAGGTGTCTTCATTCTGCCTTATGAGATCGCAAGCCATTGGGATGAGGGATACAAGTAGGACACGGGAGAAGGGCAATTTGAACAAGGCCAGGGTGCAACATTTGGCTGATGTAATGCATTGTTAGGGAGCTGGTGATTTTTGCCATGGTTGTGTCATGGGTGGCCATTCAACGGAAATTCAAGGAATCTGTATTAGGCAAAAAATGGGAGTGCCCAGTGTCTCATATTGGTCAGTGCCTGACAACGGGCTGAAAAATCAGGTACCCCAATGACACCGGCCTACGCTTGCTGAAATAACACCATTAAATCTCTGACTCATTTTCCTGGGGTTGGTTGTCATTGCACCTTCCTGTTTACTCTATGCCTGCCCAAAAGTCATTTTGGCATCTAGCACCACTTCACTTTGCTCCTTTGAATACATCTGCTTCGGCCTCCCCTTCTTCACACCCTGCAGCTAGGTTTTTTCTCCCTCTACTGTTACGGTTTCCCCAGGACCCACCTCTTTTTCCCCCCTCTCCCTCACAGACAGCCGAATGCCTCCCTGAGCTCTCACTCTCTCCTCTCACACCTTATGCTCTATTTCCCAGCCCTTTGGACAGGGCACTGTGCTGTCACCGACGGAGACACACTGCTGTGACTGCCTCTTGTTAATGTCAGCATCACCTCATCACTTAGGCAGAGAGGGGAAAATCCATAAAAGAGATGGAAAATGCATTTCTTTTTCATTTTATTCTACTTTATTTTAAGAAGGTTGAGGGCAGGGTTGTTCTCGTCCTTCTTGATTTCTCATAGATTTTACTTTAAAACTGTCTAACTGGGGCCATTCTTTTGATAAATTATAGATCAGTGCAGGTCACCCATTATGATGCATAAGACTAAATTTTTAAAGCTCATAGTAACTTTTCTATGCTGCTGGACAAATTGACTAAATTCTGTGCAAATATTTTGAGTCATAGGCTTTTTATTGCCACCTCAGTCTTACTACTACTCATGATTCAAACATCTACATGAACCTGGATCAGAATGTTGACAATTTGTGGTCGTTTTCAGATCAACAGTAACTGTTAGACTCTTGAAAGCACGAAAAGAAAGTATAAGCATGTCCCAAATAATCAACAATTTGATGTGCAAAAGCACTGGATTTTCTGTTCAAGTATATTAGATCAATCTATAGGTGTAAACTTCTTAAAGGATTTTAAGCAATAATGAAGGCAGTTTGAGAAATGAGAAGGCACTTTAAAGACATGAAACCTTACCTTACATGGATATTTTTTTAATGTAATAAGCTAATTGGATTCAGGTATTTTTTTCCCTTTAAATTTTTAAAAATATGTATTTCTAATTTGTTTGCATATTTAATTCTTTCAAAGCTGGAAATGCTCATTGTTTGAATTTGTAAATGTTATTTGCAACCAAATGAAGTATTTATTTTTAAAAAGAAAAGGTGAAGGAACCAATATTGATTTGTACATAGTGAAAATATGTGTGTGTGTGCCTGTGTGTGTGTGTGTGTGTGTGTGTGTGTGTGTGTGTGTGTATTTTTTTCCTCCTTGACACTACTTGGTCACCACATCAAGTGTATTTTTGTACATAATATATATTGGTTAGAAATTGTAGATTGTCTATTCAAAGAATTCTATCTCTGTGATAGATTATATTTATCCTAATCTGTCGATACCTCTGTTAATTTGTTTCAAGAGATAGAACTCTATTTTTTTGGAATTTGCAGAGAATTGCATTCATGGCTTCCAATTGTAAGTATGCTATGGGTATTTTAATAAATCTTGGTTTCATGTCTGTCTGGTGTGCAGTGCAGATTTGTTTTTAGGAGACATTTAAGAAAGTTTCCCAATAGTACCCTAACGTGGAGTATACCCATCATTTCCAACTTTCATTACTGCCCAAACTCAGCATTATTACTGAGCTGCAAGAGCTGGGTCAGTAAATCCATCATTGACAGTTCCACACTTCTGCCGCATCCTCCCCACCAGCAGTGAGCAACCTCATTAGGCATTCAAGGCCAGCAATAGGCAAACCCAGCCAGGCTGACCCAAAATCAATTGCCCAAGATGGGGTATGTGAGGGAGAACCACAGGGATTGGTGACTTCAAGTTGTGAGTTGGTAAACAATGTACTTAAGGAAACAGAACAGAAACATAATTGTATTCTACTCTAAGCACAAGGTACAAATTCTTTTCAAGCAATGTTCTGACATGTGCCAGTATTTATGAACAAAAGACTAAAAGAGTTTAAGCAGAATACCCTTCTGTTTAAAGAGAAGTGTGACTATTTGTTTTTTAATTGATTCCTTTGTTTAGTGTTCCCGAATGCCATGCCCACTTGAGTTCTAGAAGTTCACTGAAATATGCCCCAGAGTGTATAGACATTCAATGAACAGACATAGCTAGTAACTGGGGAGACATTTCATTGCAAGAATATCTTCTAAATTATCGAGTCATAGAGCTGCAAAAAACTTCAGACATTGGCTAAAATCTCCATTTCACAGAGTAAAAACTTCTGAAGTTCACGGGACTTGTTGAAAGTCACACTCAGTGTTTGTGAACATGTCAAGACTTGAATCCAAATCTCAACCCCCAAGCCAAAGCCCAGCCCACTGCTCAACTCACTCATTATGTGAAGCTCTTCTCTTCTTTAAAACACTCCATTATGGAGAAATATTCTGGGACTGTTCATTGACAAGGATGCTCCTGTGGGTTTGTGGAAACCACTATGAAAGTTGTGTTCTGAATTAGAGCACCTTGGAAAGGGTGGAGGCCTGTGTGTTGTAAGGACCTAGAAACTGTCAGTCCATCTTAGGAAGATTCTCCCCTCTGGTCTAACCAAGATTTACTCTCCTTTGCTGAGCATAGTGAAACTTGTTGAATTTATAAATATACATTTTTATCTATTCTTTAAATAGTCCATGTATGTATGCTGATGTCCCAACGATCAGGCCATAAATTCCTGAGGGTAAATATTCCACTTCAGACTCTAGCTGCCCACTTCACCTGTCTGTGATGTACTCATGGGAGTAAAGGACTTTGAAGTCGGCCTGCACTGGCCCTGGCTGCTTGGGTACCTGCTTCACTTTGGGTGCCTCTGAGTCAGTCTTCTCAAAGGAACCCTTGCTTTATGCCCATCATGGTGTAAGGATGAATGGCAAGAGAAGGTAACTATATTAGGTATCAATTGCTGCATAATGAAATGCCCCAAGACTAAGTGGATTAAATCAACAATAATCACTAATTTTCCATGGTTTTTGTTAGTTTGAGAAGAGCTCAACTGGGCAGTTCTCACTTGGAGTCTCATAAGGTTGTAGTAATATGTTCATTAGGTCTACAGTCATCTGAAAACTGGAAGGCTTGAGTGGAGCTGGAATATGTACTTCCAACATGGCTGACTCACTCGGCTGGCATGTTGGTGCTGGCTCTAGGCTGGGGGCCTTAGTGCCTTTCTACCAGTCTGCTTGAGTGATCCAAGGTGAAACATGTAATGCTTTTTTGTCCAAGGCTCACAAGTCATATACAGTCACTACCATCATATTCTATTAGTAAGGCATTTACTAAGTTCTGCCCAGGTTGAGGGTATGAGGAAATAAACCTCACCTCTTGGTGGAGGAATGTCAACACCACATCATAAGAAGAGTGTATGAGATGGGAGTTGTTGGTGCAACCGTCTTTGGATAATACAATCTGTCCCTGTAGCTTGCCCCATTCTTTCTATCTGGTCTTTCTCTTTCTTATTCTTATTTTTGTTCTAACACTAAATTTCAGATTTTTTTTTCAAAATTCTCCCTACTTCTTTACCCCAAATCTTTCTTCTGTCTGCCTGTATCAGAGTACATAAATATTTGTCTTGCTCCTCTGAATAGAAAGTGAGGTGTATGCTAATGGGAACTTTGTATATGCTGGTCGAGAAAAGAAGGGCTCAGAGGTGATCCTAGGATTTTACTCCAAATTCATAAGCCTACATTTCTTATCGTATGAGCAGCAAAGATGCTGATCCCCACTGAAGCAGTGTCTAAGCCATTAGTGCATAAAATCCCACTTTTCAGTGAGTGGAATAGAGCTTCCTTTGACTATTATAATACTATGTAAGTATTCATACAACAGAATATTACTCAGCCTTAAAAAGGAAGGGAATTCTGTCACATCTACAACATGGATGAACCTTGAAGACATGATGCTAAGTGAAATAACCCAGTCACAAAAACACAAATATTATATAATTCCACTTATATTAAATACATATAAAAGTCAAGTTCATAGAGATAGAAAATAGAGTGATGGTTGCCAGGGGCTGGTGGGGAGAGGGGATGGGAGTTGTGGAATAGTTGGTACAGAGTTTTAGTTTGGGAAGATGGAAACATTCTGGAGATGAACAGTAATGATGGTTGCACAGCAATTTGAATGTACTCAATGCCACAGAACTACTCATATAAACACTTCAAAATGATTTAAATGGTAAATTTTATGTTATGTGTATTTTACCGTGATAAAAAATTAATAGTATGTATGAAGGGCTTACTGTATGCCAGGTGCTATATTAAGCATTTTATATGCACTACTTTGGTTAATTCCATTAATAATACTACCAGGTAAAAATTACTATCCCCATTTTACAGATAAGAAAACTAATGCTTGGAGAGGTTGATAACTTTCCCATGCAGTTGGTCAGTAGGGAAACCAGTATTCAGGCACTTCAAATAAACACTCTCAGCCACTATCTTGTCTCTAATGTCACAAATAGAATCAGCTGATTTGAGAGAAAGAAGGATATATAGACAAAGATTGTAAGGTCTTAACACACACACACACACATACACACACATGGGTAGTCTTAAAATTTCATTTTTGCAATATGGTAAAAAGTTTTCCTTCTAACAAGATGTTTCTTTTTCATACATTACGACCCTTTCAAACCTTAGCATAGTTTTTGTCAAATATCTAACCTGAGAGTATTGGAGCTGCCAGCACTTCTGTAAAAGCCAAAGAAACTAACTGAATGGGTCTATATATTTATTATATCCCTCAAGAAATAGCTAATACACACCTTCCAGAATTTTCTTCTTTCTGTAGATTAGATGAAGTGGGTCAAGGCAAAAAAAAAAAAGAAAAAGAAAAAAAGAATAGGAGTTGGTGAGAACCGTATGAGGAATACTATGAGATATAGAGAAACAGCCATCTAATGTACCTTTGAGTAGTTATCCTGAAGTAACCTGGTAATGAATCAATCTGGAAATATCTATGACAAGGCAAAACAATGTCCTATCCACAGAAAATAATATTTAAACAAAACTGGATCATGTAGTGCTAGAATTTCCCCAAACCTTTTACCTATATCGTGGTATGATCATTGCTTCACCTGAGGCCAAATTGAGACCCAGTTGGACCTCATTTAGAGTCATTTTGAAGACATTTGCAGCTGAAATTGAACCCTTCTTTGGGGAGAGTATTTTTGTATTTTTTACGCTGTCCAGAACCAGAAGTAGAAGAACGGAGAAAAATCCTTCAAGGAAGAAAATGCTCCCCTCCCCCATACTTCAAGTTCTAGTGACATCAAGAGTTACCAAATTATTTAATACTTTGTTTGATCTTCCAAGATTGCCAGCCCAGTTCCAAAATCCAGAATGATTTGGTCACTTATGAGAAACTTATTATATTTTGGGGGATTTCTCCCACAGACGAAAAATGTGGGCCTAAGAAGTGAGGAGAGAGTGCGATCTAGAAAGTCAGAATGCCTCTGCTCTTCAGCTTCTACTTCTGGTTTTGTGTGAGCGGTAAGAGAACACTGACTCTCCCAGTGGCCATCTTACAGCCTCTCTAACAAGACCCTTTCTGATATGAGTTCCTCTTCTCAATAGATCCCCACCTAAGACTCAATGGTAACTTAGAGAAAGATGGTCTTCTAAAATACAAATTTATTTTACATGCCCTCAAATGAGAAGTCATGACCCTAGGAGAGCTGTAAGGGGCAGCAAGGCATGAGAAAAAGGTCACAGGCTTTGAGGTTAGACCAAATCTTGTATCCCTGCTCTGCCACTTCCTAGCCTGCTGAGCTGAAGCAAGTTACAGCATGCTAAACCTCAGCCTCCTCATCTAAGAATAGGGGTAAAAATGATCTCAAACAGGTTGCATAAGGTTGTCAAAGGTCAAAACAAATAATGCAGAAGTTTCTGATACAAAACAATAAATATTATTTCCGTCTCTCATATAAAAGAGAAGAACATTCTCTTATAAGAACAGTCAGTATTGCGTTTGCTTTTCCTGGGACCATCCCCAGTTGAACTTCACAATGGGAAAGGATTGTCCCTTCTCCTCAACCCAAGCCTTGTCCCTTTATCGCCTAGTTTGCATGTGAGTTGATTTATAAGGCCCTCCTCTTTCCTAGAGAGGTGACACATGCTTTTAGTTCTAGTTATTCCACAACGGCATATTATTCATGTGGACTTACTGCACTTTAATTTCTACATCTGTTTGGACTAGATGATTTTTAGGATCCCTGATTTCTCCATAAGCAGTTATTATAGAAAAGACCCTATAAGCCCTTGTCTTTAAGGCATACAATATGCCAAGGAGGAAACACATCACTAATGAAAATGAATGGGCATTTACAGACAACACATATTGATATTTGAAACTGGGTCATTGAAGTTTAGAGCTGAAGATTCGTTCTTTAGACAGTTGTCTTGAAGAATGTTTTAATAACAGAAAGTGTCCTGGCAAGGCAAAGAGAGAGCCTCTACCAGGTGTCAAGATGGCCCATATGAGAAGGAGGCCGTGTAGACAGACTCCCTA